TAAATAAGCTTAAGGAAAGCTTATATGGGATTTAAACAATAAGATAAAGGAATTAAGAAGGAATTTGTAATATGAGTTTTAAGATGGAATTTTGATATGGTATGGTTATTGAAGTTTTATGGATGAATTTGACTTGTCATCAATCTAATTAAGAAGTATGAAGTGTTAGAATTGGAATTAGAACACATTGAAAATTTAGTGTGATTCTTGAATGCCATGTAAATGATGGAATTTTGGGTTTAAAGAAGTGATTATGGAATAGAAACGAGTTAAAACATGTGTATGGAAGTTAGGAATATTAAAGGAAGTAAAATATGAAGGTTTAAGCTGAAATGAAGTGAATTTCGAGCTCAAATTAGGATTTCTGGGCTAGGGGAATCGATACCCATTCAAGGGGAATCGATACCCCCTCAAACGAACATGGAATTCCAGAATGCCAGAGGAGAACCGATACCCCCATAGGAGGGAACCGATTCCCCCTAAAGGAAAATTGTAAATATTGGTTTAATAAGTTCGTTTAAGTTGCTAGTATCAAATTACAAGGTGTAGGTATATAATAATTGTCTTAAAATGTATAATTATGTAGATTCAGAGCCTAAACGAGTTCCGGAATCATTGACAAGTAAGATCGATAAAAAAGGAAGATAAGAGATTGGAATGGACTAGTGAGGCCAGGTGAGTGCATATTAGTATTATATGATGTTAAATGGAAATAAGACTTGCGACAAGTCTATTTCCATAGTAAAATGCATGAATTCATAAATAGAAGTATATATGTGTATGATTTATATTGTTGACATGTTATTGCATATATGTATTATATGGTTGATGTGAATATGTGATATGTTATGATGATATAAACCATATGATATGCTAATGAATATAAAAGATAAGTTATGTGATAAGATCTTTGATATATATATATATATATATATATATAAATGAAATATTACTACGTGAATACATGTTATGAGATAATTTAAGTAATAATATGAGAATATGGTAAAAGTGAGTTTATGAGAAAGGATATGAACTAAGTAAGCAAAGGTTACATAAATAATATATTAACTAGGAGACTTGAACTTCAGTGATACTATGAGCATGTAAGATAAGATAGAGGAGAAAGATTCATATGCTTAAATAAAATTATGATACATTAGTTGTATACTAGAAGCTATGGAGTGATATGAAATGATTATAGGAGTTGTACGGAATTGAATTAAGTAAATAGATTAAATTGTACATAAAAGAAATAATAGAAGTAATATATTCAGGTTTATAAGTATAATGTAGGTTAGGTAATGTAAGTGTATACTAAGAAATACAGAATAAGGTAGATGATATGATGTAAATTATATTATGAATTAGTGATGTAGGAATGAGATATAAATATGCAATAAAACTTATGTGTTATATGATAAATATGAACATATGAGAATAAGAGATTATATAAGTGACTTGGTGATAAAAGCTATATGACCATGGATTAGGTAAATATGAATAATTTAAGTGATATGTAACTATGAGTATTTGAGTATGTATCCATGTGAGTTGTTTCATGAGGTTATATGAAATATTATACTATATGACTATGTGAGTATATGAAAAAGAATATAGGTACATGCAAGTTATATCGTAAGGAGTTGTGTAACCATGCTTGATATGTATTACATGTATGGGAATATAAGAGAATAAAGCATAAATTATATGAAAAGATATGATTCATGTGATGTGAACCATGTGAACATATGAGAAAGTGTATAAGTTATATGTATTACATGATATATGTGATTTTACAAGAAATGACATGAGCTATGTGATTACATGATTATAAGAGATCAGACATGTGATAAAAGATAATTAATATGCATGTGTGAATATGAAATGATATAAATGACAATGCCCATGTTATGTGTCATGAGAGCTAGGGGTATAGTTGGCATGCCAAGAGTCGAGGGTCTATGTGGTCCTTCGGGACATATATGTATTCTTTGGAACATGTGTGAAGTCTGGTGAGACACATACTTGATCCCTAGTATATGTATATGATTCTTAAGGAATGATATGTGGTCATTCGGGACATATATGTATTCTTTGGAACATGTGTGAAGTCTGGTGAGACACATACTTGATCCCTAGTATATGTATATGATTCTTAAGGAATGATATGTGGTTCTTATGGACATTATTATATGGCACTACGGTGCAATTCTATGTGGCACTTCGGTGCATTTATATGAGCTGTGGTGACAGCATTAGTGCACAACCTCCATAAACTCACATATCTATAGTTCTCACATATGTACATGGGCTAATCAAGACATATAAACAAATATATGTTAGTGATATGATAAATGTTATAGAAATAATATGATGTTGTGTATGTATAGTGTTTGATTGAAAAGGTTAAGTATAAAAGTATGTGATTACATGATAAACTGTTAATGGTGAGTTATGTGTATGTATGTATTTACTGTAATTAATCTGATATGATTTTATATGATACGAGGAAATCATGTAATTTGGTATAACATGATAGAACAGAACATGCATGTATTGATATATGTTATAAAGTGCATTATAAGTTTTTATGCCTCACTAAGTCTTCGACTTAGCGTGTGATTGTTTCACACGTAGGGTACATAAGCAAGAAGAGAAGAGAAGAAGAGTAAGACATGTCAGCACCTCCCTTACAAAATTTCAGATCAGAAAATAGAGGATTTAAATGTTTTTGGTTATTTGAGTATAGTTGACATGTACTAATTGGTTGAATTAAGGGTATGTTTGTTTCCCGTAATTGGAATTACGGAATTGGTTTTCCCCGAATTCTCGTGTTTGTTTCACGTAATTCGTTTTCCGAAAAATGTTTTCCCGTGTTTGTTTCACGTAATTCGTTTTCCGGAAAACGTTTCCCGTGTTTGTTTCACGTAATTCATTTACCGGAATGTAATTCATTTTCCTAGTAACAGAATTTCCTTTGTGTTTTCTGTAAAATGACTTACGGATTCATTTTCCGTAAGTCATTTTCCAAACTTTTCACTTCAAAGCAAAAATACTCAAAATAATTTTATTTTATGAATTTAATATTAATAAAATATTTTAATATCATTTTCATCAAAATATTAATTATTAAAATATTTAAAATATATTTATTAATATTTATAATAATATAATATTATATTTTTAATATTATATAAAATAATCAATTATATTATAATAATATAAGATATTATATTTTTATTTTAATAATATATAATAAATTTTTTTATATATTTAATAATGAATAATATTATTTATATATTTCAATAATATTTTAGTAAAGATATTAAAATATACTAATTAATATTTTTAAAATATAACATAGTACTATTACTTTAATAAATAATTAATATAATTTATAAAATTTTATTTCACTAAAATATACCAAAAAAATGTTTAAATAACATCTTCCAAACATCATAAAACGTTTTCCAGATGTTTTCCAGAAATGTAATTCATTTTCCAGAAATGTAATTCATTTTACAGAAATGTAATTCATTTTCCATAATTCAAATTCCAGTAATTCATTTTCCAGTAATTCAAATTCCAGTAATTCATTTTCTGGAAAACCAATTACAGCTAAACAAACAGACCCTAAATATATTCTGATTGATTTTGGTTATTGTGGTCAGTTTATGTAACTAAACCTCTTTTATTTTAATGAAATATTTATAAAATTCTTTGAATTTTATCAAGAGTCAAAGTTTGAAAAGTCAATGAGACACCTCAAACTCGTATCCGGGTCGGGTACGGATTGGGGTGTTACATTATTCGTCAAACTCTTCACTATACACCGATTAACGTTTTTGGTTCTCCTAAAATTTACCGTCTGTCTTGGGTCTCATTTCCACAGTCGAAAATACAAAATCTATCCCCCACAAAGGTTTGCAAGTGTTTGTGGTTATGATTCCTCCCGCAACCACACGTAATCCATGATTTTAGGGTTAGACTTAGATCAGGTAAATAAGAGAGTTATCTCTCTTGAAAATTTAATTAATATATATATTTTATTTTAAATCTATTTTCGTCCATCTAAAATTTTATAAATTAAAGTTTATTTTCTCAACGTAAAATTATGCCTCCGTATGTGTTGATGAATCAACAATGGGGTATTGGGATGTGTCCAATTAATCTGGTTTTTTTTTTCAATAACTGAATCTGTTCACAATTCTTTTATTATTAGACAAACATTAAAGAAGAAAAAGGAAATTTTACGCTAAAAATTTAAATTTAGAAAATTAAATTATTAAGTAATTATCGACGAAGCTATAACAATTTTTTGTCATATATTAGTATCTCCAGTAATGAGCTTTAATATATTTTATCTAAAAATCTATGAGACTATATTTTTTTAGATAAATATTTATTAAACTGAAAAATATAAACAAATTTATAATTAACACATGAGTTGGTGTCTGAATTAACTTTGAGATTGGATTTTAGAACTTTTTTTGCGTTGTTGGTAAAAAAAACACAATTAAAATACAATATCAAACATTCTCTCTCTATATATAAATATGCAAAAATAACCGACATTTTGATCGAACAGTGGTTAAAGACTTAAAGTCATTGTTAGCGTCTAAAAACTCAGAATTTAAACCTTATTAATATAATCCTAATTTGTAAGTTGACTTCGGTATCAATATATATATATATATATTACACAAATTAACTTAAATCATTATTATTCTTAGAAGTCACGGTTTTGAATACATGCAATTGCAACATGATAATTTAACGTTCATTATCAAAAGATTAAAAGTATTTATAACATATACTATTTTATAATCACTTTAATTTATATATATATATAAAATACAAGTTAAAATTTGGGAACTTGAAGTGGGTCCTCATAGCAATGTTGTAGTACATATAAAGGCAGGCAGTTCCAATGGCGTAGAAATTCATCAGGAGACTTGCATTCAAAGTTCATTTCCTAATACCAAGAAGAAAAAGAAAGAGTACTGAGACACAAATTTTCTTTTACTGCCCTCAGATTACTTTAACAATCTCCCTGCACCTTTTCAAACTTTTGTTTAGAATCCTGCAAATGAGGCCTTCCAGTTTAGCAGTATCTTTTATGGCGTTGTTCATTTTCCTTTCCAGTGTTCAAGGTAAATTCCAGCAATTCTTTCTCAGTAACACAACAAAGCCTCCATTACATATCATTTAGATTCTAACGTCTTATCTCGTTGTTTGTTTTTGGTAGGGATTAGATTGGAGAAAAGTTTCAAATCACCATGGCCTCCGAAATTGCATGTTAGTATCCAATTTGCTTCAGTATTTTTTTATGCATTCAGTTCAATATAGTTTGAAGAGATGTTATTTAAAGTGTAGACCTGTTGTATTATGCAGGAAGAAGCTTTCAGGGAAAGCAGTGATGGAGTTGTGGGAGAAGTCATTTTCTGCAAAGAAGAGCATTGTACAGGTACCCAGAAGGGGAAAAAATAGCACACCACTGGTACTGGCTACCAAGAATTCATTAAGATTACCGTGGACCTAGGAGGCACAGCACAAAAAATCATAAATTTACCCTCCCCTAGGAGCAGTTTTCTTCCGTATTCTTAGTGTAAATATTCCTCAAAAAGCCTCATAAGAACAAGGTCTCAGAATATTCTGACAAAGCAGTTTTGTCAGCAAAGAAGCTTCTCAAAACCATGATTAATTCCTCTTTGGGTTGGATCAATTATATGTTAGATGGAGCATTTTGTGAAAGAAATGCGTGGCGTAGTCACCAAACTTCACCTTGTCTCTTGCACCAACTGACAACTTTTTTCACTTTCATTTTTGCAGGAAACAGTAGGAAACTTCTTACTGTAACTACTGCTACTGCTACTGCTGCATCTGCCACCAGTCCAAAGGTTGATTAATAGTCACCACTAGTAATTTATTTATTTGACTCGGTGTTTAGTTGATTCATGCATTTATTACCTTTTTTTACCCCGTAATATAGGGTTTAGATATTATCTTTGACATTATGTTCTCTCCGTGTATCCAGAGCGAAGACAGTGGAGATAACAAAGCTAACACTAGTTCAAAAGTCAAATTAGGAAACCAAGAAAATGTTGGAAAGCAAGAGAAAGTCCCTGTTAGTTCGCCGACAACTCCCGAGGTCCATGACCAATATGCGGATATTATGGCGATAGCTGAAATGGACTATGCACCAGCCAAGAGGAAACCTCCAATACACAACTAAGAATGTGGGGGGGGGGGATTCAACGATAATACTAAAAAGAGAAGAAGAAGAAGCAAAAGTTTTCCAGATAATTGAAGGAATGAGAAATCTGACAGCTTCCCAGGAATACTGCAGTTTTTTAGGGTTTGAGAATGAGCTTTTGTACATGTAATATAGTATTTTATTACCATCATACTTAGTTGTTAAACCATCACTTTTGATGATTGAGTAATGATGCACCCTTTTTGGAGTACCCTTTTTAGGTTTTATAACTTTACATTAGTACCATAGAATCAAAAACTCACAAACAACATTAAAAATTATGGATTTAATAACATGCATTGGATGGAGGCTGAACTTAGATCAAAACGGGATGTGGACAGAGTTTAATAAAAGTGTACAAATAAGCATAAAGAAAAGTGCAGAAATGGGGGACCTAAGATTTTCAATGAAAATGAAAAATAGACGAGACTTAAATGAAAGTAGGTATGGAGCCTTATCTGTAAACTGACCCTTGTGTGTTTTCTTTACTCATTTAGTGACCCACCCATGGATTTTGGGCTAGACCCACCATGTTTAACTTATTGATTTTGTGTTCGAATGGTCAGTGGTCACACCTATATGTGGGCTCATGTGTTGTGGCCTCAACAGCCAAGATTAGGGTGGACCATGCAGATGAGTAAATGCTCTCAACGTGGTTCGGGACAATGTTTTCGGTTCACCGGTGCAACCACTGATGGCTGGACGTATCGAGCTGTTCCCAATATAATTGCAAAGCATTTATTGGCCCCAAAGGAAAAATGCAGAACATCTTACGAAATGCTGTTAGTTGGCATGTCTCCATTGACATTCTAAGATCTTAAATGTCCGAAGCACCATCAGTAGGATAGCTCATAGCTATACTTAAAACAGAATTGTATCTGTTTACAACCAAGTGTGCACCAATACACAAATCGGTTCTGTTCCTGGAATTATCCTAGAGCTTCAGTATGAAGCCGATACAAATGATCACAAACAAAGAATCTAAAATCTATCAAGTTATAAGCCATAATTCCATAATTTGATTATTTCGAATCTCCTTTTGTTGATGAATGTATATACACAGGAAGATCTTTACCAGAACAGCCAAGTATAATCATTAACTAGTTTTCTCCTTTGTATGCCGTGTATGGAGAGATGAATAAACATCTATAGGACTTATCCTTCTAAGAGGCATTTGAGACTCTGAAGCCCTTCAGCAGAAATACTTCTCCTGAACCTTGGCCTTTGTATGATAGAATGAAGAGGCGGTTCCAGGTGAAAAGCCACTAAGACAACTGTTAGATTGTCTGTTGCTCCTCTTTTTAGTGCTTCTTCGACTATTTCTTTGCAGCACAACTTGACATCATTGTGCTGTTGGAGTCGCCTCCTTGTAAAATCTACGGCATTTTGGGTGGTGAAAACGTCCCATATTCCGTCACTACCAATGATCAAAAACTCGTCTTCCTTGGTCAATGTTATCATTTTGAGTTCTGGTTCGGCAATTAAAGGGCCTATTCTCTCCCCCACTTCCTTCATGCCTTCGAGGTGCCAATCACCTAATGCCCGGGTGACGCCTAGTTGGCCATTAAGATAACCATCATCGACGAATCCGCCCAGAGACTCGATTCGTCTCCTCTCTTTCATGCAACAGGGCCTATGATCCTTTGACATCTCTATAGCTGTTCCAAGCCGCGATAGTACAGCCCTAGAATCACCAGCATTTGCCACAAGTAAAGACCTGTCAAAGATAACGTCATCTTTTCAGGCAAACCAAAAATTTAAAGTGTTGATTCAAACATATAATGTAAAACAAATTAAAAAATGAGCAGATTAAGCACACTAAAAGATAACTTGGATAAATCTTGAGGGACTGGTTTGAAGAATTTTTTTACTTTGAACCAATCTTGTCTGATTCATCAAATTAGAGGTATTCTGATCAAAGCAAGAATCTCTCTGGATTGCTTGGATTTATTCCTATGTTCTAAAGGACAACCCTTTTTGGGAGATTCAGGCCATTACTGCAAGCAGCTGGACTTGGAGATATATTTTAAAGCTGAGAGATCTTGGTCAACCAGTGCTAAGTTCAGCTAATCAAAGGTGGCTTGGGAGAAATTAATATGGCATAAGCTACATTTTCCAAGACACTCCGTTATCTCTTGTGTGGCTATGCAATTGCAAAGAAAGCAGAAGCTGATATCTTATGGCAGGGAGATTGATGGTAGCTTGGCATCTTGGAGTTGTGTCAACTAAGGAGGCAAGCAATGAACTGGGAACAAGAGGTGACATGGGTAATTACAACGCTGCGAGGGAAATATTTGATTCTACTTATCTTGAATTTGGCTTGGAATTCCATCATTTATATGGTATGGAAAGAGAGGAATTGTAATGAAAAGAGAGGAAAACAAGCAGAGTAAGGCCAACAAGAAAAGCTTCAGAAATGCTTACCTCCCAAATATCATAGCAGTGAGAGCAGTAGTGCCAGAAGCTTGGGCAGACTCAATAGAGCAAGACTTCGCAAATGCAGCATCAGTCTCCATGAATGACCTGGTGACCGCTTTCTCTAGTCCTAAGGGAAAATCAGCATCCTCAACAATAACTCTAGGCAAATGATCACGGACGAATTGTGATGCGTCCTTCCCTCCGTGCCCATCGAAAACCTGTTCTTTTTAAAGTCAAAGAAGAGAATGCATATGTATGATTGTGAGCTTCGTTTTCCCCTCTTATACTAAATCTAATGTGATCCCAAATCATTAGTTTTAGCCGAAAAACCGAGTTTCAATCTAACAGATAACCATCGGTTAAAGATCATGTTTGAAAAGAAATATTAAGCAGGAAAGATATTAGCAAAATTTTCATTTTAACAACTCTGCATCAAATTCTTTCCGTATCATTTCTGTTTTGTCACCCTTGCCTTGCAGTTTGCACACATAGTAGAGCTAAACTAAGAACATAAACAGAAAGAAGACAAAACCGGTAGTGTCTGATGGATTCAAAGCTGAGAAGGCTAAACTAATTTATGACCAATTTCAGTTAGTTTTATAAAATCATATGCTAAGAAAATTAGAATGTTTGTGTACAAGAAAGGCTGATGGGACAATATGTAACTTACACCATAGAAGGAAACAGCTTCTTCATTCAGTAAATTGCAACCAAAATTCTTAGCCAAGTCTGCAATGCATATATGAGTATCCTCCATATAAGGGCGATCCCCAATGTGGGACCACTCTCCAGACCGGAGAGTGGGGATAAAACTTGTCAACGGGTCATGTTTTCTATCTGTGGCAACTGCATCCTCGGATATACTTTCAAGCTGGTGGAACACAAATGAGAACAAGACTATCAGGAAAAAAAATATACTGTAGAAGAAACCCGTGGAAGCATTGTCAATGGTAATAAATGATCTGCATAAGATACGAATTTGTCACGAATTTGTCGATGCAGGACGCAGCACAGTTGAGTTTACGAAGAGATAAAGCCTTGAAAAAGAGAATAACGGTGTAATGTCATGAACGCCAATTCCATCGATAAAAGACCACACAGTTTGATTGAAATCCATACAGAAAATAAAGCTAAATTCTTAACGTACTTCAACTATACTCCTACTTAGACCCATTATATCGAAGTGTATATTGTGTGATATTCAATATTTGAGCATTATAGAAAGAAAGTTATCAGAAGCCGACATAACATTCGTGCAACTGAGATAATCCATAAAAAATGCAGTTATGAGTAATGGTCAAAGTGCCTACACAGAGAAAAAGTACTAAAATTGGATATTTTTCATGAAGGTTAATGCTACCAAGAACACGGATGGACAAATTTCTGAACTTGAAGCAAAATATTAACCAAAATGATAAATATTCAGAACATATTTACAGGAAACTGTCTCATCAAAAGCAACTTTCTTGTCAGTAAAGAGAAAACGTTGCAGGAAATGAAGTTTGGATACTAACTCTATTGCTGCCAGTGACCGTAGGCAGGGGAGAAAGCGAAGGCCTAGGCTTTATGCCGGTGCTGTCATCAAGGTCCTCCATTTCTTGGCTCACCTGCTCTGCATCATTAACACACATGGTAATACTGCTGACAATAAAGGAAAGGAAAGGAAAGGAAAAGAACTTAGGCGTATCCAAAGTTACAGGACCGAGAAAAGAAAGTAAAAAGAAAAAAAACAACAACAAAGAGGGTAAGAATCAAAAGGAAAATTATGGAGTGGGCGAGGGGAGAAGATTCTTGAGAATATAATGCATTGGTGCGTGCGTGACTTTTTGTGAGATGAAAACGCCTTCCTTGTTATTATAATTATAATTATCATTATCATCATCATTATAATGTGAAATGAAATAAGGTTTCCAGATTTTTCTTATGAAAGCGTGGCTGAAACGGGCTTTCCTTAATGCTTTGCTTTTCATATAAAGCCTTTTTCCAGACGTTGCCGTCACATCATGTCTCAGGAAACGTCCTCTCTCTAAAATTGATCTGCCTCACCCTATCTTTTCTTCTTCCAATTAAATATATATATATATATATATTCCGCAGAGTTCATCTTGAACTATAATAGAGTATGATTCTTTTCTTTTATGAAATTTCAGCGTGTTTTCTACGGAGGAGGAGGAAGGTGGAAAAAACATTTCCAGGAAAAAGAATATTTGGCTACACGTTATTTGGGATGAGTTTTGAAGAACAATGACGTAATAAATCATTGGACTTGTTTTATTTTAGTGGTAGTAATTGCGCCAAAAAGTGAGTAGAAAATGACGTTAGATATCTCTTGAATTTGCTTTGTATGTTTTCCCATATAGAAAACGATATCTTCGGTTCAAAGATTCAATATTTGGGTCGCAGACTTGTTGCCTTGGCCACTAACCGAAAAGTAGGTTCTTTTCTTAGCCCCGTCATACTTGCCTTCTTCCATGTGGAACTAGCATCTTCTCTTATAAAATAATACTAATTGAATAAAAAATAACAAAAACACTAATTTTAATTCAAATACTTAAAAGGCAAAAAGGAGGCATGAGTCTAAGATCGTTGTAAGTAGAGGCTAAAGTATATTTTGGATGGATCCGTATCTTAAAATTCAAATTTCTTTATATTAATTGTTCATTTTATTACGTGTGTCTATTTTAAAATTTTATTTGTATATATTTCAATTATTTCTAGATTCGCCATTGATTTCAAGTGGTTGCTTATTATAAGATTAAGCTGCAAATTTTGACAGTAAATAGTAGCTTCTTTCTTTCTTTATTTTGATTTAATTATGAGTTTTTTCCTTTTTTGTTTATAATACCCGAAAAAGAAATATAAGAAAATCAACATTAATAAAAAAATATTAAAAGGCATTTCTTAGATAGATTTTATTGACCATAAATTCGGTATGGTTGACGATTGAAAATGACAAGGAATCTGTTTTTGTTGCTTTGGTACGCGACGCATGATGTTGTCCGATGGAGCATTCCTTGTTCAATAAGATTAATACTAAAACTCTTTTATTTTAGGGTAAATTACGTATTTAGTGTTTAAACTATATTTTTGGTCCATTTAAACATCTAAACTTTCATTTTATTCACAAATATATCGAAGTTTAGTTTTTGTTTTATTTTAGTACCCATATTAAAAATTTAACATTAAATTTTAAATTTATTTTGAAAGTTTAGGTATTAAAATGGATCAAAACTGATAGTTTAGGTGTTAAACACATTAAGTTTTTAACAATGGGTACTAAAATAAAACATAAATTAAACGTTAAGTATGATTTGAAAAAATTGAAAGTTTAGATATTAAAACGGATTAAGACTGATAATTTAAGTACTAAATGCATATTTTACCCTTTATTTTATCATACTAATAATTTATTTTGCCACTCCTTTGAGATCCTCTGGATTGGCATTTTTGTTATCGGATTGATCCTATACCAATGCATTGAAAAAAAAAATACATTTTACTCTTTTTTTCTCTCTCTCAAAACAGTTCTAATTACATTTTTTTTTACAGATTTGAAACAGAAAAATCTCAAATTACAATAAAGATTTACAATCACAATAGTAAATTAAGCAAATAATTAGAAAATTTTCTTATAGTCATTTAAACAAAACTAGTAACTTAATATCACATAAACACCATACAAGGAAAGATTAAATCTAATCAATAAACTCGAAAAAAAATACATACAAACAGATCTGATCGCATCTATAAACAAACCACAAAAAAGGTTCAAGTTATTGAAAGACCACCGACAAACCGCGAATTAGACTCAAGCGACGTAAAAAGCTATCCACGAACACAAATCGCGTATACAAATCCAATCCGAAGGTCCAGAGCAAGGAAGATCACAAGATATTAGATAATCATTATCTTAAAACAATTTTAATTACTAGATATGTTGATTACGAAAATTTTACATTATTATAAGCTTTGAATTACATTTGAAACAGAAAATAAAATAAAAAAGTATATGCATTGTTTATGAATTTGAAATATATATTAAGTAGTATTCTTATTTATTTAGTATTTAGATCATTTGTATTTTTTAAAACTTTAAACTAAATTTAATTACATTTAAATATATTTGAATCTATATTTTCTAAAAGATGTTCACTTAATCAATTATTATATATATTCCTAAATTTACATTATTATGCTTGATGATATAGGTCATTGGTAAAATTGGCCCAATATTATAGCCGGGCTAATTATTTAGCTGAATACTACACCAGAATTTTTTTTATTTTGAAAACTATGACGTTTGTTGCAATGACTTTGAATTCGTCATGTGGGCATGATGAATTCAATAAAATATATTTTTATTAAAACATGTCACTCCGACATCACAAAATCTAATAAAAATATATTTTATTGGAACTTATCACTTTAACGTGATGAGTTTAAATAAAAAAAATTTATTTGGGAAAACTCATCATGTGGGCATGACGAGTTTATCATACACTGTAGCATTTATCTTATATCCCAAAATAATTTTAGAGATGACCTAATTTTTTTACTCGCATGGTTTAGTGGGCCAAGAAAACCTTAGGCCATTGGCTTAATTAATGTATTACCCCACTGACTAAACAAAACCCAAACACCGTAGCCCACTGACAAAACTAAACCCAAATTGCTTACCCACTTTTGTCATTCAGCGGAAGGCATTAGGCCATTAGCCAGCAATTACTTATTTTCCACAAAGGCCAGCTATTTCTCTAAAGGATAATACAACTATATTTATTAAGTAAATAAAAATATAATACAATAAAATTTTATAATCTTGAAAAGCATATAAAATTTAAAGTAAAATTATTTGTATTAACCGGTCATTTAACTTAAAATGATGAAATAATAAAAAGAATAATTAAAAAAAGAAAAATGAAATTATAAAAAGGAGTTAAAAAAACTCAACCACAAAGTTATTACAAGAACAATACAAGGTAAACTACATCGATCATAATTTAATTAATACGAATTTTATTTTAACCATGACCTTTTAATTTTTTTCTACGATTTAATCATTTAAATACTGTTAATCAAGTTTTATTAGCATTTAGCGAAAATGTTAATATAAAAATTAATAAAATTGATATAATTATACATTTGATTCTCGTTATTTATATATTTTATCAATTAATATTGATTTTAGTTTAATTAAAAAACAACTTATCTAGTTATTATTTTAATATCATTCCAATTGTCTTTTCAATAGTCAATTATGATGATGATTTATATTTATATTATTTGTATTTATAATTATATTTGTGGTGATTTATATAAATCAAAATTATAAAAAAAAACAGAAAGCAAAATATCTATTACAAGTAAATTAATGAACACTGAACAACATGCCAACATCATAATTCATACACGTAGGTTGCGGACATGGCCATGAAAAATTAGGCAAAAATAAACAACTAAACATGCCCATTTACATAAGCCATCGCCCCCATAACGCAGAAGCCAGAGAAGATACACCGAAACGTGGTTTTATTCTTGTAGACTAGTAGATATATCAAATATATTACATAAACGCCAACACCAAAGAGTTACATAAGTAGCAGCTCCAAGCCAAGGGCTCACAGAAGATGCATATGTGGTTTGGGGGGATGACCGGGTCCAGGTGGTGGATGAGGTTTGGGACCTCCCCCAGGAGGAGGAGGTTCAGCATGGGGAGGCGGTGCTGGGTGGTGGGGGCCTGATGGTGGACCTGGTGGAGGAGCATGGGGTGGCGGAGGTTATGCATCTTTTTTTCCTCCTTATCTTTTTCAATTTCCCCCCAACAGATAGCTTATCTTAGAGGATCTCGTGAATATCTACAGTTAAATTGAACTCAAAACCAGGAAGGTTTGGTTATTTTTTCAACTACAAGTCAGAGCCGCGTTGGATATGCGTATGCTGGTAGTTATTCACCTAAAAAAACTCGTGGAGTTTTCTCGATGATCATATCATAGAAGTGAAGTAGAGAAGGCAGTCTTAATTGTAAGCCATTCATTCAACCTACCAGTTCCATGTAAGATCCAACGCCGTGATGACACCTTTCAGAAATTCCCATACATATGCATGCTCGAAGCATTTAGGCACCGATGCACATTAGCATATTTTGAGCAGCTCGGGTCTTTTGGATAAGTTAAATGATTGAATGTGCCAATGATAACTAAGGCTTTCTAAGATGGGCTAGGCTGCCTGTTGCTAAACCCCTCTGGTTTTTTTTCCAATATCCTAAGCGGGTCAATTATTTAGAGTGTTGGGTCTATCCAACCTTTATTTTGGAGAATACAATAATTTCTACAGTGCACCTCGACATTTGATATTATTTTTAAATGGTCCTCGAGTAGTGGGCCTACATGGGCCATTATTTTATTATCATTAAAATGACTCGTCACGTCGAGGTGACGAGCCCATTAAAAAATATAAAAATAAAATGTATAAATTAAAAAAAGTTAGGTGGAGAGTTCCATCAAATTCAAAAATACTAAATGTTTTCTAATCGTTGGACAACGAGCAGACAGAGCAACGATGCCAGATAAAATTTAAATTTCTAGCCGTTTATAGCCGTTGATGGTAAGATTATAAATAGGCACTACAGCAAAACATAGTTTTAGCGGCGTTTTTTTAGTCTTATAGCGGCGTTTTTAAGCGCCGCTAAAAGTATTTGCGGCGATAGGAAAAACGCCGCAAGAAGCGCCGGCAATACCAGCGTCGCTAAAGTTAGCGGCGTTTGAGAACAAAAAACGCCGCAATAGGTTAATATCTATTACGGCGTTTTTTGAACAAACGCCGCAAAAGGTCGATATCTATAGCAGCGTTTTTGGAATAAACGCCGCAAAAAGTTATGATATATAGCGGCGTTTCTAGAAAAAACGCCGCAAAAGGTAAGATCTATAGCGGCGTTTTGGATACAAACGCCGCAAAAGATAAGACCTATACTGGCGTTTTTAGAACAAACGACGTAAAAGGTCAGACCTATAGTGGCGTTTTTAGACACAAACGCCGCAAAATGTCAGACCTATAATGGCGTTTTTGAACACAAACGCCGCAAAAAGTTAGACCTATAGCGGTGTTTTTGGATACAAACGCCGCTAATTACCTTTATTTAGCTAATATTAATTGATTTTGCATATTTCATTTCTGCTATACATCACCTAAATTTATATCTAGCTTTATCTAATTAACAACAACCATACATTTTAATTAAGACAAAAAAACATAAAGAAAAATACTTAACAACAAAATAAATTAAAGTTTTTTTATGGAGAGAGAACCTTAAAAGACATTAAAATACAAATAAGTTACAACTGAACCTCAAAGTGTAGATATATATGGATTTATTATTCGATACATCCTCAATTTCACTAGCGTCATCATCATAACCTCCAGATATGCCTTCTAAAGCTACTTTGTTTCCCACTTCATTGGAATTTGTCATATTCATCGTCTTGACATCTTATTTGAAAGTATCATTTGACAGTGAATGATCTCTCCTCAATAGATTAAAAACAAATGGGAAACGTTGTGCCAGTCTATTGAAGAAGCCGCTTTTTGTTGAAGTTTGTTCTTCAAGATTACTGCAATTACAATAATTTAGATGAGACTAAGAAGAGAAGGAAACAAGCAGCAGAACTTGCATTCATAACATACATGTGAGTGATTGAGAACTGAAAAAAGATGTTGCAACAAACAACAAAAACAGGAAGTCAGGAACCATGAAAACTAAAATATATTCTACATAAGAATGTAAAAAATGTCATCATAAAGAAAGAATTTAATAATGTATTGGTTGCCATCTTACTTTTAGAAGTTAGAATTCTTACCCCAAGAATCTGAGCAAGTTTGTATTCTTAGAAAAGTTAAGGAAATACAAAAGAGGGATAAGCAATGAAATCTTATAATTTTGGATCAAGAAAGCATGCATGTCTAAGTCCCTCAAAGTTCATAGGGAAAACCCTAGTAGGTTCAATCATTTCAAGATTGCTTCATGTGCCTTTTGATCCTATTCATGATCAGTAAAATAAACAAATGAATCAAGGAACATATATTTCCAGTTATAACTTTGTACTATAAGAATTTTAGACGATAAAAAGAACTCAAAAAGTGAACTACTTACTCTTAGTAGTAAAGGAATGTGCCAAATATTTAGAACATCATAGAGAGTGATAGTATTTTCGGCCTAGAAAGAAGTCATATTTCTTAATAACAGTAGTTACTGATTTAGGAGATGGAAGAGAAGCAGACAAATAGAATTCATGTTTCATTACCGGAACATGGCAAAACGGAGAGAGCTTTAACTTGACATTATCATCAAGTGCCTATTACAAAAAAGGGGCAAGTGAATGAATAAGAAATGTCAAATTAGCACTGCTAAATACAGTTGAAAAATATAAATAAGGGTAGAACCATTGTACTACAACAAGCAAGAATATTTGGTCTCAAGACAAGTCCTCTAAGTCCCCGAACACTGTGCTAACAAGCATGTTCCCTCATTGCTTGATTCTTCTGAATTCCTTAAAATGAAGAATTATACCATTACTTCAAACCCATAAGGACTGTACATATACAGAAAACAAAGAGATAACAAAGAAAATATATTATATCTGAGTTTGAGCTTCGCAGCTCCTAGAAAAGTATCAAATTATTAGAGTGAAGCTTTCAAAGAAAAACATGGACCATAAAACTTTCGAGAGTTTGGTTATATTTTCTTCTTTCATTGCCAATGAAAGCTTGACCTCAGTACGGTATAATATAAACAAAAAGAAAAAAATAAAAAGAATAATATATTCAAGGACTTACATGTATTTGTTACTACCATAACACATAATTAACTAACATGCACATGCAATCATGACAGAACACAGATGGGGAACGAAAGCTTCTAAACAATTAAGACATGAACATGGCAAGACACAACAATAAAAACAACTTCTTATGATAATATACAGTTAAATGTAAAGCTATTTTTAAAAAAAATCAAATATTAACAAAAAAATTACTTTTTTATGTAAGAACATGAACCTTAAAAAAACAATTGGAACCTAATTACTAGTTGTTGATTCCATATTTAAGAGAAAAATAATAAAAAGAAAACCTTCGATGCATCCAGCGACATGTTTAGTCGTGTCTCGACCATGTTTTGATCATGCTTGTTTTCGTTTTTATTTCCGGAGGCATCCTCATATGTTCAACACATATTAAACAAGTTCCAAAAGCCAGTTTCTAAGCATCAAACAAATTCAAAAAACCATTTTCTTAGTATCAAAACCTATGTGGTAACTAACTTCCCTTCAAATATGAGTTAATTTCACCACGCTCGTAAAAGATCATAATTAGACAGATATTCACCATGGTTCAAGAATCAGAAAGTATCACATTCAACAGGCTAAATAATCAGAACATGAAAACTAAGAAATGATTTCCAAGTTTTAGGCCTATTCGATTCAGCCCCTCAAACCTTTTCCAAATCTAAAAGATTCAAATCATTGAACTAATACACAAAGCCCTTAGGGGAAACTAAGAACTTAACATAATTAAATTGAATAAGATTAAAGCAATGAAAACCCATAAATTAAACCATCGAGAAATCGTAAATAAAATCCCAAAAAAAAAGTTACCTCGAAGCGGATGTTTTTATAAACAAGCTCTTCAACGTTGCTACCAACAGTAGGATGGGTGGTAACAACCTCGCCGAGGTGAAGCTTGTAGAGCATCGTTGTTTTGCCGGCATTATCCAACCCGACCACCACAATCTTATATTCCTTCGCCGGAAATAACATAAACCAAAACTTCGATATGAAAGCCACCATCTTTCATATCGGCGGGATTGAAAAATGCTTGAAAGGGAAAAAAATGAAAAAAAGGTTAAAGGGTGCGACACTTAAAATTTGTAAACTTGCGGCGTTTGTAAACACAAACGCCACTATAGTACAAGTGTATAGCAGCGTTTGAATAAAAACGCCACTAAAGTACGAGTCTTTAGCGGCGTTTGTATAAAAATGTTAATAAAGTATGAGTCTTTAGCGGCGTTTGTATAAAAATGCCACTAAATTACGAGTCTTTAGCGACGTTTGTAAACACAAACGCCACTATAGTACAAGTGTATAACGACGTTTGAATAAAAATGCCACTAAAGTACGCGTCTTTAGCGGAGTTTGTATAAAAACGCCACTAAAGTATGAGTCTTTAACGGCGTTTGTATAAAAACGCCACTAAAGTATGAGTCTTTAGCGGCGTTTGTATAAAAACGCCACTAAATTATGAGTCTTTAGCGGCGTTTGTAAACACAAACGCCACTACAGTACATGTGTATAACGACGTTTGTATAAAAACGCCACTAAAGTACAATTCTATAGCGGCGTTTGTATAAAAATGCCACTAAATTACGAGTCTTTAGCGGCGTTTGTATAAAAACGCCACTAAAGTACTACTCTTTTGCGACGTTTATTGAAAAAACGCCATTATCGATGAACCTATTGCGGCGTTTTTATAAAAACGCTGCTAAAGTTACCATTTTGTGGCGTTTGCTATGTAAATGTCGCTATATGTTTAAAATTAGTAGCATTTACTCCTAAAACGTCGCTAAAAACGTCGTTGTAGAACAATTTTATTGTAGTGAGGGGTTTGGGGTTTTAGCTTTTCACCAAACCTTGAATACATGAAAAAGATCATATATTGTGCGAAAATCCCAAAAAATGGCAACCCGAGAATATATGTTGCGCTTGGATAAAGCCCATGTTTCGTCGATCCAACGCCAGTCAGACGACGATGAATGAAATATTTGTAAGCGAGGGATGACAACTAGATAGCCGTATCAGCGAATGATGCCATATCTGCATCAATCCGCTATATTTCCAGCCATATTTTTATGTGGCTTCAAGCTATACCCAACGTTGATTGAGGCTCTGATTGAATGTTGGCGGCCTGAGAGGTATACATTCCATATCCCGAGTGATAAAGCGACGATAATTTTGGAAGACATCGCTAACCAACTCGATGTTCTTGTGAATTGAGCCCCCGTGGTAAGGCAGAACATTTACGACCCTACGACGTTGGTCTACCAAGTTTTAAAAAAAGGGCATCATCCGACGTCATCAAAGGCTATCGGGTAATGATAACGTGGTTGGAGTCCGAATTCCAAGTGACTGTCGAGTCTACCGAGGCAGAGGTTGTTTTTGCGTCCCGAGCATTGCTTCTCCAAGTGATCGGAGGGATATTATTACCGGATAAATCCGATAATTTGGCACACACTCAGTATATGTAATATTTGGAAGACTTCGTTATGTGTCGTAATACTAGTTAGGGCTCGACAATTCTAGCCTTTCTATACTGGGAGTTTTGCAAGGCTGCAATTTTCTAACTGGGTCGAAAAGCCGATGTAGCAAGTTGTCTAATGATGTTACAGTCTTGCGCTTGGTATCGCTTCCCATTTTTATGCCAATTACACTAGCCCCGATCGAGTTTCCAATGCCTGCATCATTTATTTAACATTTTTTTGAATTTCATAAATTTATTTATTTATTATTTGTTTATAATATTTTTTATTTTTAAATATTTTAGATGGCGTCATAAAATATCGGAGACAGAGTTGGATACGGATGAGGATCGACATCACCGGTCGATATGCGATATGACATACGAAATTATTTTTTTAATTTTTTTAACTTTATATATACTAACTTCGATATTTAATATTTACGGTTTTCTTGGCTTCTGTATGTTGACGAGGAGATCAATCAATTATAGTCGGTGCGATTTTTTATGGGTCCCACTTATGGTGTGCTGTGACGCCGTTATTGCACCAAGCGATTGTTGAGTGACACGCTGCTGATAGAGTGATGTGACCGTTTGTGTAGCATCAATCGATTCCTACGCAAATGGTTGATATGGGCGTGCTCCAAGCAATCGATATGCGTGGGAAACATAACGAAATTTGGCCGGTGAGGCACGCTTACTACATCGATGTAATACCCCAAATTTTGGTTCGTGACCAAAATATATGTTTTGAAAGTTTAGTTGCCAAAATATAAAATTAGGAAAAAATTTAGGGACCTAAGTCGTAAGTTTCCAAAAAATAATTTTTATTCCATAAATATATAATTTAATTTTGAGAGTGAGGTTTTATTAAAATCATATTCTTGATCCGGAATTTATGTTGAAAATTAGAAATGGTTACAGTCCGGTAAGAAATCAGTAAACCGAATCACATAGAAATTTCAGAAAAAAATGAAGGATGGTAAATTAGGCTTAAAAATATTATTTCCACATGTTAAAATGATGGAAAATAATGGAAACGATTGGATTTGAGAACTTATTTCCATGTTTAATTTGGCCCGTTAGATCAAAGTGACAAGATTGCAATTTTTGGAAAGTTGCTTGGTAAAATTGGCAAAAGGGTGAAATACTTTGTATGTCTTTGACTTTTAGAAGATGATAAGGTTGATGTGGCATGGTTTGATGGTAATTATCAAGTTTCATTAAGGGTAAATTGGTCTTTTCCCAATTAAATGAATATTAAATTCATTAAACTTAAATAAGGCTAAATTAACATGATGAAATTAACCTTAGAAATTTCATGAAACTTAGACTAAAATCGGTCATCAAGTCATGAGCCTCCTCCTCCTAAATTAAGAAAAAATTTATTTTCAATTTTTGAGTAATTTTCTTTAGTTTTTCTACGCGAAAAATGCTATCATTTGGTACCAATATTGCATGCTAATCTTGGTTGTGTTGAAAGATCCCAAATTTTAGAGTTTGTGTTCACATTAGAGTTTATGGAATTGATGAAGGATTTTGATATTTTTGAGGTTGTAGAATCATAGACAAGCATGATTGATGATTAAAATCACTTGTACATGGCTATATAAGCTCATGTTGAATTTGACCAAACCCTAGCGTTAGGGGAAAGAAGTGTTTAGATGAAATTTGATTAGGGCTTTGATTTTATAGGTCTTGAAAAGTCAAATCGAGGTTGATTTCGTGTTCGAATCTAGTGAAAATCTTGAAACCCTAAACTACATATCATTCGACCTTGAGAAAATAAGTTGGGAAAATTTGTAGAAAAATTCCCATGGCTTAGAAATGATATTTAGAAGGTTCTACAAGCCTTAGAAAATTTGTTGGGCCAATGTGTAATTTTTCAAAAGTTGAGGAACTTATTCGGAAATTTTGAAAAGTTATGGGATGAATGTGTAATTATCCAATAGATAATGTACATTGCTAGAAATCACTGTTTGAGGGATGAAATTGAAGTTAGAATGAAAAATTTAGCTATTTTGGAAAGTTGAAAAAGTTTAAGTGTAAAATGGCAAATATTGGAAAAGTTAGTGACTTAAGTGGTAAATATGACATTGTTGAGGTATTGGGATGTAAATTAAATGCTGGAAATTTATTTGGCTTATTTGGGCTTGAATTGAAGAATATATGACAAAGACTCATTATGAATAAAAAGGAAAAATTAAGATGAATTTTAAAAGAATTTGAAAATAATAGTGTTTTTGAGTATTATTATTTTGTAAAAATGTTACTAAGATACTAACATTATATTTTATATTTGTATGTGTGATTATGGATACTTGTGTAGATCGTGATCAAATTCGTGATAAAGGCAAATCAAAAGGCAAAGAAAAAGTTCAAGAATAGTCGGATTTTGTCAGTAAGGCACAATAGTGAGGCATACCAGGTAAGTGCATTTATTATGTACTTATGAGGATGACTTGCGATGAGTCAACCTCTAATGTTTTTATAAAAGCATGTGTTACCATATTTTGAAATATTTTCATAAAGTTTATGAAAATGATTTTACGAATAATTTTAGGGTATGAACTGCCCTAAGATAGATGGATGGACTTTTATATTATTTTAACAGTTGTCGATGTTTCAGAATAAATGTTTAATCTGTGAATTTGATTTAAAGGCCTATTGTATGTGCATTGAGAGTCATAGGTGCATTTTGACATACTTGGAGTATGGGTGTAAAAAACTGACCCGACCTGACCTGTAAAACTAACTGAAACCGACTTGAGTTAAAACTGTTTTTGACTTGCGTTGTGACAATCCGAAACCGACTTGAGTCGGAACTGGTGTTGACCTGAACCCAAGTTGGACCTGGAAATTATGGATCTGAACCCGACCTTCATCCGACCTGAACCCAAATTGAACCGAAAATATGATACCCGAACTGCATCCGACTGATATGAACCCGAACCCGAGATTGACCTAGTAAATAACTGGTATTACCCGACCTGTTTTTAAACTGACCTGTTTTTAACCTAACCTGTAAATGATCCGACTTGTTAATGACCTTATATGATATTTACATGACTTATATATTACCATGGACAAAATTATAAGATTTTAATAAAATTATGAGTTTTTTAGTTTATGATGTAATTAAAAAATTAATATGATTACTTCTTAAATGTTATAATAAAATACTTATTATTATAATTAAATTAATAAATAGATCTATTATATAAAATTATTTAATAAAATAATAAAATTATTTAAATGTAAATTAGATAAAACATGATTAATAATGAAAATGAAAATTAATATAGTTTAATTTATATAAATTATATAGTTTAATTTATATAAAGAAAAAATAATATTAATAATGAAAGTATTTATTATGTAATATATATTAACGTTTTACATTATTAATATAAATAATTTTGCAATACATTAGTTTACATAGGCCCAATACATAAGTCCACTCTTTTATTATAAATATTTTAGTTGCATGTTATGTTAATTCACATTAATAGACCATTTATTTTGTTGTTATGAATAAGTAATAATAAAACCAAAAAATAAGTCCATTTGCAATAGTACTAGTCCATTTACATTAGTTTACATAGGCCCAATTCATAAGCTCACTCTTTTATTACAAATATATATGCATTAGTGCTAATCCATTTATATTAGGGTTTAATGTTTAGTGTTTATAGTTTAAAGTTCAAGGTTTAGGATTTATGATTTAAGGTTTAGGGTTTCTATAAAACTATATACTTTATTACTTTATATAGTTTATGCATAGTATTTCTATAAACTATATAAGTAATTTACTTTATATAAACTATACATATATATATATATAGTTTATATATACTATACTTGGTTTATACATACATATTATATAAAATTATTTAATAAAATTATTTAAATGTAAATTATATAAAACATGATTAATTAGGTGTTAAATAATTAATATGTCACATTGGATATTATATGGTTCATAAATAGTAGTACATGTCATATTAATTTCATTTGCATAATTAGTATTTTAGTTGCATGTTAGGTTAATTCACATTAATAGCCCATTTATTTTGTTGTTATGAATAAGTAATAATAAAACCCAAAAATAAATCCATTTACATTAGTGCTAGTCCATTTACATTAGTTTACATAGGCTCAATACATAAGCCCACTATTTTATTACAAATATATATGCATTAGTGCTAGTTTATTTATATTAGGGTTTAAAGGTTAGGGTTTAGGGTTTAGGGTTTAAAGTTTAGGGTTTATTATTTAAATTTTAGGGGTTTTATAAAATTATATATTTTGTTACTTTATATAGTTTATGCATAGTATTTCTATAAACTATATAAGTAATTTACTCTATAAATTATAAGTTGCATATATAATTTAGGGGTTAGGGTTTAAGGTTTAGGGTTTTATGATTTAGGGTTTAGGTTTTTTTATAAACTATATACTTTATATATATGTATGTATGTATATAGTTTATACATATAAAGTTTACATGCATGCATACATACATACATATATATAGAAAATTAAAAGTAATTAGAATGTATACAAGATTAAATTGCATCGAATTGAAAATTCAAGAAGATATTTACAATTAAACCATGACTAAAATGAAAGAAATAAAAAATCAAATACAAGTGGAAAAATGATCCATGGATATTTATTTTTCTCTTAATTTACTCGAAATCATATACAATTACAACTTGCAATTCAACAATCACGAAATATGACAAAATAATTAATCCAAAAATAAAAACGACACGACATGAACTCAATCCATATCTGGTAAACATCCGACCTGAATTTTATATGTCAATGATGTGACCCGATCTGAACGAGATGCGACTGAAGTCCACCCGAACCTGAATTAACCTGGTCTTTATCTACTTCGGACCTGAACTGTTTTGACATGAACTGACATCGATCCGAACTGAAAATGACCTGACCTAAACCCGATCTGGATCTGGTGTCAAATCAACCTGAAAATAACCCGAACTGATTTGACCTGACCTGAACCCGATCTGGATCTGGTGTCAAATTTACCTGACTTGACAAGTATCCGATTTTACTCGACCTGACAGGATCCGATTGAAACCTGAACAATTACCCGATTTTACATCCCTAACTTGGAGTATGATGATTATCGATCGATTTTGTTTAATCCATACGTTGCATTTTCGTATCAGTACCTTTTTGTACTCTCAACACTATGTGTGCATGCATGGTATTCATAATGAGTTGGTGAATTACCATTTCGATATATTAGTATAGTGTCGCTGTTACTACAATACATATACTTTCGTTTAGCACTTATGTGCAACTCATGTTCCTTGCATTCTCATTTGACATACATTGGGCTATGAATGAGGAGTTTTGAATATATTGAATGATAGGTATGATGGGCATACTAAATATTGTTTCGCAGGTTATTTGACGAAAACTTGGGTTATCAAGTCAGTTTTTATGCGTTTATGTATTTTATACGATAAATCGTATTTTGATCTTATAATGGTTTACTCATGATTTTAAAATGTCTTATTTATATTATTATGCCTCACTAAGTGAATACTTAGCGTGTGATAATTTCAAGCGTAGGTTATAGCGTACAATCGTAGTAAAGAGTGCAGCTGACATCGTAAATCAAAGGTCGCCTCATCAGTAGTTGTATGACATCTTTAAATGTTTACTTTTGATATTACTAGTTGACATGTATTAGTTATATGATGATGCTCTGATATGTATTTGACATATGGGTTGTAGTATTATATTATGTTCGAACTTAAATGCTATTTTACATACTAGTAGTTAATGAATGTTTATAATATTATTATATCAAATTGTTTTATTTAAAGAAATAAAATTTTACGGGTTTCAAGTACGAAACTGTTTTAAAAGTCATATGATATCTATGACTCGTGTACGGGGGTGTTTACGGGGAATAGGTGTTACAATCGACCTATGGAATCAACGTGAACTGTCGCTCCCCCCGCGTGACGACATTACACCACCGGACCTATATTTCGATCGTTCTCCCTATCTCCGAACTTAAAAAGAAAATGGGAAATCATATCTCAAGACACTGGAAGAGAATGGATAATGGAAACATCATCAATCCACATGCGCCAAGTCCAAGAAGAAAACGTCATCGTCTTCTTCTGCTTCAGCATCTACAGATGAAGTGTACTATTACGCATCTCATGCTAGTTTCAGTTTCTATCCTCCATTTCATACTTCAATAGAGAATCGATCAAATTGGGTTGGAGGTTCATGGGATGCACCGCAATACACTCAAGCATCTTTGACAGAACATGCAATTGCGGGTGATGGCGTCAAATGTCATAAACCCATCATCGTATTTCAAAGGTGGATCGCAAAATGTGTTGAGTACACCTTCTCGGCAAGACGACGACGACGACAATCAAGACCAATAACTCCAACATACTTGACGAACCCCGCGCCATTTTCATTCGACAACTCCTCGGCATCGTCAAAATCTTAAGAAATGTAGATAAATTTTCTTTTATAATTTTTCTGTAAATAATTTAATTTTGTAATTATTTATTTACTTTTTATTTTTTAAAATATAAATAAATTATTTTTCTTTTAATTTTAATTTTTTAAAATTTTATCTGGTCTAACTACACCTAATTTTTTTAAAATTTATAAAAAAATTATTTAAATTTTTTTAAAAAATTATTTTTTAATGGCTCGTCACGTCGGCGTGACGAATCATTTTAATAAAATTAAAATAATAGCTCGTGAAGCCCACTACTCGAGGATCATTTAAAAATAATATCCGACGAAGTGTAATGTAGAAATTATCATATTTTCCAAAATAAAATTTGGGTAGGCCTTATACCCTAAATAATTGACCCGCCTGGGAGTATTGGGCCAAAAAAAAACCAAGCCCTCTTGCTCTTTGGGGGGTCTGTCCTGGTCTCTGGCTACGACTTGAAAGCGGATAACGTTTTTTCTAATGGCTTTTCTCTTTGAGTTTAGAGTTGATCCTCTTGTCATAACAAACGAAAGAAAAAGACCAGCACCGGACTAGCACACTGCCATTGTTGTCACCATGGTTCCATTTTGAACTCCAGTAGACTCTGCCTTTCATATTCTTCACACTCCAATGGCGACGTCATTTGTTCCTCTTCCTCACATAAGTGGGTGCTTCACCTATCCTCGCCATCGTTTCCATTTTCATGGACAGTGGTTGTCACTAACACCAGGTCCCAAGTATCGTTTGAGACCCATTAATGCTTCGGTCGAAACTCCTCTTTTTCCACTCTTGACTCTTTCGGCCTCCCCCACTAGATGAATCTCCTTCTCAGGTACATATATGCTCATTTCCTATTAGTTTTTGCCTTCTGGGTTTCTAACATCTTCATTTCCATTTGTTTTCTTTTTTCCTTTTAACTGTTTTCATCGTAGCTGGAGCCCTGATTACTACAAGATAGGCTATGTTCGAAGTATGGGAGCTTATGGGATTGAGTTTAAGGAAGGACCTGACGGTTTTGGGGTCCACGCCTCGAAAGATGTTGAACCTCTTCGCCGTGCCAGGGTCTGTTTCTGCCTTTTTCTACTTTATCTCTCTCTCGTTTTTCCCAATTTATGTAGATCAAAGTAACTCGTTTCCCTTCTAGTGGTCATACATTCTTCTGTAACGAACGTTGTGCTAGTTATGTAGAAATGATATCTATATGTTGGTAACTATGCTTCTAACACTTGCCGAATAGGTTATTATGGAAATAACTCTGGAATTGATGCTGACAATAAGGCAGAAGCTGCCATGGATGTTCTTCCCGGATATAGTGCCTTTGGGTCATCCCATATTTGATATCATAAACACTTAATTATATCAGACAAGTCTTCTGCAGTTATTGTTCAATTCGGTGAGTGCTCTAGCACACCGTTTATTTACTGTAACTCATGTGTATTCTTTCTTGGCAGACAGATTGGGATCTGCGATTGGCTTGCCTTCTCTTGTATGCACTGGATAGGGATGATAACTTTTGGCAACTATATGGAGACTTCTTACCTAGTGCAGATGAGTGTACCAGCTTGCTTCTTGCTAATGAGGTGTGTAAAATGGGAAGACATGTTGCGTTATCGTTTCAATGTTTATTTTCTTTTGCTTTATTTTTAGTCCCCTTCTGTTTTTTTTTGTTGCTAAATTCCATTTTTCGTATTTGATGAATTGATGGTGGGGAGTGATGTAGTTTATTGATAGAATTGAAGCATTGGGATTTGGTTGTTGGATTCAGTACTCACACAGATTAAATACTGTAGTGGTGCTATGAAGAACTGTATTTTTGAACAAAGTGTTTGTTAGTGTTGCTTTTAGCATAATTCTAAGAGTAAGTGAGTAACTAAATGGGAAGCAGTTTGCTGTCCTCACAACTCCATCTATCCTTGCAGGATGACCTCTCACAGCTGCAGGATCCTATCCTCAAATGGCTAAGAAGATGAGTCCGCATTTATCAGGTACCTACAATCGACCAAGACACCGCAATCGCTGGCCCGGAACCGAATGAAACTCTTATGAAAGTGAGGTCGGATATGGTTCTGCGACCGGACAAGAAGCAGCAGGGGAAGGTAAGATGGAAATTAAAAGCTTTTTCTGCTGCAATGCCGTTATCCTTCCGGTTACTGTCCACACAAAGGATCCTATATAACTATTTGTCCAACGATATGGCAGGTCAATTTCGGGCAGAACTTGGTTTGCAAGGAAAGTCTCGCTGAAGGGAAGCCAAAGATGGTTAAAGCGGGAGATCCTATATATGTTATAAATAAAGTCCCCACTGTTACTGATGTAGCTGCTTGAATGTGGAGAATTATTCGAATAATAAGAGTCGTAACTCCCGATATGAGACTCGGGATCTTATTATCTAATAATTCAAGTAGGGTCGTAAATGAATCGTGTTAGAATAAATCGACTTTCGAGTTTCAACTTGTAAGCTTTTATAAAATAGAAGTTGGATTGCACTAGACTTCTAATGCCACCGGTCTTAGTAACATCCACATCCACATCCGCATGAATTTTAATTATTTTATTTAAAGAAAATTATTATTTAATATGAAAAGATAAAAAAAATATTTAGTTATTTTTTGATCAAATTAATTCACCTTCATGAATTCAACCTGTAGTATAAATATATTCGATAGTAAAATTATTTAAAAGATGAATATTTTTTAATATCTTAATTTAACTCTACGCACATAATTAAAAAATATCCACTCTTAAAATATTAGCTTAATAAAGTATTTATTATATTTGTAAACACTGTACGTAATTGATGTTCCATAGAAGAAGGACATGGATCTAAGATGCAATCATGCAGAGCCCACCCAATCCCAGATTACTACTAGTCACAATCTTCTCTTCTTTTCTCTTTTAGAAATCAAAATCATCCTAGGATCTTGACTGGAATTTTGCATGAAACAATACACGTGTCGTCACCCCTAATCTCTCTGTTTTATCTCTTGTTAACCTTTACAAGTTCGAGAGTAAAATAATTAATATAATAAAAGTCACTGCCAGCCTATTTCAATCCTCTCGGTTTTCTCGAGAAAATCAAACCCACAGTTAAAAGAAGAGGGAAAAAAAAGGCGACAGTGAATTTAATTATCAATATATATATATATATAGAATCCGGAAGACTGGATTTCCTGAGAGAGAAGTAGAGAGGAAAATTAGATACAAAAAGGAGAGTTAATGATTCGTCGTAAGCGCTGAAAATGCCCTGAATCAAAGGCGGTTCCGGTCCACCGCCGATCCACTGTCTCTGTCTCGTATACTCTCACTTATCTGTCTCCATCTCTATCACCGCCCGAGTCTGGTACCTATTGGCCTTCAATTTTTTAGTACTTTTTAGCTCTGTTTGTTGGTTTTAGGAAATAAACTTTTATGTAAAACAAGTATTATTACCGTCTATCAGAGTTTTGATGTGAAAATTCTAGTATGTTTTAAGAAAATAAACAATACCCAGAAACCAAAACCCTAGCTTTATCTCTCTACACTTGATTTTTCACTAGTCTAAGCCAATATCCCATTTAGCTGAATCCTGTGTTCTAGATTATGGCATTTGATCACAACGCTATACCAAAAGACCTGAGACCGTTGAATGTGGTTAGCTCTATGACTGAAGAACCCCGCATGGCAGCTACTAGTAATGTCAGTGGTAGAAACATTGAAGGGTTTTTTCCCAATCCATCTCTGGAGCCTGCAAGTCCTGGTACGGTGCCTATTTTTTATCCAGCAACTATGGCTAATTCTGGTTTTGTAGGTTTAGGGTATGCAAATGCAGTGCCCTTGGCACCGGGTGCCCCTGCATGGAGGCCTCCCATGCCAATGCATGTACCTTTGCCGGTGGGGCGCCCAAGTATGAATCCTGTTGTTGGGTTTGGCTATAATCCAAATTTGAGCAATATGGTTGTTGCTAATGTTGTGGATCAGTTTAGTAATGGTATGGTAGCTGGGCATGGTTCCAATCCTAGTTTGGGCTATAGAAACAGTGGGAATGGAAGTGATCAAATGAGTAATTATGTTACGACAACAGGTTTTGCACCAAGTTCCAATATTGAAAATAGGGGTAGTGGCAATGGAAATGATCAGTTGCAGAATGAATTATTAGGTGGGTTTGCTCATAAGCCAAGTTCAGGACTCAGAAGCAGTAGCAGCGGGGCTGATCAGGTGAGTGATGAGGGTGGAGGTGATTCGGTGTCAGGAAAAAAGGTTAAGATTTTGTGTAGTTTTGGAGGGAAGGTACTGCCTAGACCTAGTGATGGGGTGTTGAGATATGTTGGGGGGCAGACAAGGATTATTACTCTCAGGAGGGATGTGAGCTTTAATGAGTTTGTGCAAAAGATGGCGGATGCTTATGGGCAACCTGTGGTTATTAAGTACCAGCTTCCTGATGAGGATCTCGATGCATTGGTATCCATTTCATCCGTGGATGATCTTGATAATATGATGGATGAGTATGACAAAGTGGTTGAAAGGTCTTCAGATGGGTCAGCTAAGTTAAGGGTATTTTTGTTTTCGGCTTCGGAGCTTGATCCTTCTGGTATGGTTCAATTTGGGGATTTACTTGACGATGGGCAGAAATATGTTGAAGCCGTGAATGGAATTGTGCATGGATCGGCTGGTGGCATCACACGGAAGGAGAGCTTAGCAAGTCTGGCTTCAACACGGAATTCTGATTTGAGTGGGGGTGAGGCTGTTGATAGCATTGGTGCTGGTCAGGGGGATGATAATGGGGCTCCATCAACAAGCATGTTGTCACCTGGAGGGAATTCAGCTACTTTTGTTGATACTGGTCCAAAAATAATGGTTGTGGATCCTAGTCCGGCTGTTTATGCAGATGGTGCTGTTCATTTAGGAATTCCAGTGGTAAAATCTGCTCCTCCTCAAACACTGTCTTCTCAACATGAGGTTGAGTCAGAGAGGCCAATGCCCCTTAGTTCGCCACCTCAACAAGTGATATATGATATGCCACAACACTATGCATCTACTACATATATTGATCCTCGCCGTGAGGTTATTAACCATTCTGATCATGTGCATCTTGCACCTCAAATGGGATCAAGTCCTATGTTGATGGGCAAAACTGATTCTGTATTTAACCAACAACATTTTTGTGATAATTCTTCCTTTCATCAGTTCATTCCTGCGTTGCACATGACAATGACTCCCTCCACTTCACATGTTGGTGTTAGACCAACAGTAGTTCATCCACTGTTCCAACCCAAACAAATGCCGATGGAGAATGTTCAGCTTCCTGTTGATGAGAGACAAAATGTTTATCAGGCTCATATTCCAACCTCAATGGTTCCAGTAAGTCAGGGTTTGATGGGTATGACAGGTGGCTTACAATCACAATATGTTTTGCCGACACAATACCAGCTTAAACAGGAGGTCCCGCGTACTGGGGCCATTGGCATTCATGCTGCAGAACAGCCAGTGCCCAAAGCCTCAAGAGAATATCATGGCAATATTCCTGGTGTCCCCAAAAATGATATTGTAGACCCTAACCATCTGATTCCCGTTGATGGGATGATGGAAGCTCTTCGGATAACCAATGAGCAAGGTAATTTACCTCTTTACAAAACCAGAAAAGATATCTTAGATGAGAGAATTCCACAAACAGCAGGGAGAGATGTCCTTTTGGATAACATCTTTAGCAAAGAAATAGACTCCAATGAGATGGTTATTTTGGATTATGTAATAACACATAACCAACCAAGAATTGGAACCCAAAACTTGGGTTCTATTGAAGTTCAATATGGGAACCCTCAATTTTCTGGTGTTCAGTCGGCACATAAAGTGGATGATGTTTTGGATTCCACAGATTCACTTTTTAGCAATCAAGATCCTTGGAATTTACAACAAGATGCTCAATTTCCTCCTAGACCTAACAAGATTCAAACACATAGAGATGGATTAGCAACTAAAGACCCTTTTGGAGAGAACAGTGCAGTAATCAATGGTGAATCTAAAGCCCAATTGGAAGAAGAAGTTTACCAGTCATTAAATCATTTGAACAAGGATTTCACTTCAGACAACACACAATCCACACAAGGTGAGGTATTTGATTTCTGTTTGCTACAGATGTTGGCATTTCTTGCTTTATGCATGGAGTAAATGTTTATTGTCTTTGCTTTCAATTGTAAAGGCTCGGCTGAGGAACTCATCAAGAAAGAACTACAAGCTGTTGCTGAGGGAGTCGCTGCTTCTGTTTTCCAGTCATCTACCCTTTCCAATCCCGACATACCAGCAACAACCGACAAATATGGTTTTGAAGGCAAGCAAGAGACTGATGTTTCAACTAGAAACATTGAAATGCAGCATAAAGCTAAATTTGAGGTGTGCAATCTAAGATCTCTTCATTCTTTATCTGTGTCTCTACAAGCAGATGAATTCCTTGGACTATCTTTAATGTTTTTTCTTAATTCAGGAAATCAAGACCAAACAACCGGACAGAACAAATTTTGGTTTACGAGTTTCAGATGGCATTGGTTGCTTGCAGGTTGAATAATTGTTTTTACGTGATGTCTGTGATTTTATATTAACTCCTTTTGCCCATAAATTTAGCTTTATTCATTTTCCAGATTATAAAAAATATTGACCTTGAAGAGCTGCGAGAGCTTGGGTCTGGCACCTTTGGTACTGTTTATCATGGGAAGTGGCGGGGTACTGATGTTGCAATCAAACGGATCAATGATAGATGCTTCGCAGGGAAACCTTCTGAACAAGAACGCATGGTACGACTTTATTTTCTTTTTGCATGCGCTTATTTTCTCCATGGTGGTTCTATTATGAAGTATTACTCACTAACTTGTACTATGGAAAACACATATGATAAGATTGATGATTTCTGGAATGAGGCAATTAAGCTTGCTGACTTGCACCACCCCAATGTTGTGGCTTTCTATGGAGTTGTTCTTGATGGTCCTGGTGGCTCTGTGGCAACTGTGACAGAATTTATGGTTAATGGTTCTCTAAGAACTGCTTTGCAGAAGAATGAGAGGTTCTAGAAGTTATAGTTTTGTTTGCTATATTATATAAGCTTTCCTATGATTGTGTTTTAATTGAAAATTTATCTGATTATAAATAATTATTGGACAACCTGCTCTTTCCAGGAATCTTGATAAGCGTAAGCGACTTTTGATTGCCATGGATGTGGCTTTTGGAATGGAGTATTTGCATGGAAAGAATATAGTGCACTTTGATTTGAAGAGTGACAATTTACTTGTCAATCTTCGAGATCCCCATCGCCCGATAAGCAAGGTTTGTTGTCGGCTCTAAGTTTTACTTGCAAGCAATTCTGGTTCCAGTTCTATGGTGGGAAGGTTTTCATTATTTATTCCAAACATCCTGAGATGGAATTGGAAATTATATAGATTTACTCTGGGTATTAATTGGACATATTTTCTTGGTTTGAGGAGGTTAAGTTGGAAAATTTAAAATAGTCTTAAATTCTCAAGGTGAGTAATTTTGTGACTGAGTTGGCTGATATGTTAAATATTCATATTATGTTGTGGGATTGAGGTTTCTGTGGGCATGTTTGGTTCAATAACAGAAGTCAGTATGTACGAACAGGGAAGGGTCTTGAACGAATTCCTGAACTTTTTTAAGAGTAACCTCAATAATATGAATAACAGACTTATTTAGGTTTTAGACCTTGTTTCTCTCAAAGTAAAATTATGGTTTCTGGTATATATTTTTTCTTTTGTCGACTGTTAAGAGCTGGAGCAAACTGAGTCTTAATGTTGTTTATCTTAACTTGGTAACATGAAGGCTCCCTTTCATTTGCTTAGTGATTTTAATAACGATAACTTCAATTTCATTCCTAACCATTCTTCAGTTCTTACGCCAAGTTTTTTGGGTACCAGGTTGGTGATTTAGGCCTTTCTAAGGTGAAATGTCAAACTCTGATCTCAGGTGGTGTCCGTGGAACCCTTCCGTGGATGGCTCCAGAACTTCTGAATGGCAGCAGCAGTCTTGTCTCAGAAAAGGTTTGTGATTGCACATTATTTGGTTCAATGCCCACTACCAATTCATTTCTTGCATGCTAACTTCTGCTGCATATTATCATCATAAGATTTCTGTTTTGGTATTTCCCGTAATTTAGGTCGATGTGTTCTCATTTGGTATTGTCATGTGGGAGCTTCTCACTGGAGAAGAACCATATTCAGACTTACATTATGGGGCAATTATTGGTAATTGCACTATCTTTAAATGTATTCTTTAATTCAATTGTTCAAAGCTTTGTATTTTGATGGCTCACATTTTGTCACTGAACATTTGCCTTGAATTGAATTCATTCAGGTGGCATTGTAAGTAATACACTAAGGCCACCGGTTCCAGAATGCTGTGACCCGGAATGGAGATCATTGATGGAGAGATGCTGGTCACCCGAGCCATCAGAGAGACCAAACTTCACCGAGATAGCAAATGAGTTGCGCTCAATTGCAGCAAAAGCTCAACCAAAGGGACAAAACCCACAAAAATAAGCAGAAAGCTCAACCCTCGGTTTTCAAATATGATTTTGGACAATCTGGTCATTGTTGGAATCTCTTGTTTCCTTTGCATTTGCTGGCAGTTGGAGGAATAATAGGAGGTCGTAAATGTGCTGCTGCTTGGCATGAACGTACGCAGCGCTGGAAGAGGAACGGAACTAAGTTTATTATTTAATTATTTTACATATAGAAATTATATTTGGTGATTTTGTTGACATTAGACTTTACATCTGATTGAAGTTTGTTTTTATGTACAATTTATATTGTTGGGGAATTATATGTTGAATCTTTTCTTCATCTGTAAACTTCCGTCCTAACAGGGTTGAGTTGTTTTTTTTTTTGTGGCTTTTTTTCTGATTCATTAATTTGTCTACATGGAATTCTTTTATTACACTTCTATTATGGCTCCAAGTAATTTTTTTAAAATAAATCATCTTGTTTTAACTCTTAATATTCCAGTAGAATAATTGCATTTTTATTTATAAATATCTGATTCAACATTTTACATGCAGATGCAATTATATTTAAATCCATGGCATATTGATAAACCTTTTTCAGTAACTTTACCTGATGCTTTCGCAAGCTTCAGCTTGAACCTTAGTTCTGCACAAATTAAGCAGTCTTCTAGATATTAGTGTTTGCAGCTGGAAACTTGATCAAAATTTTGAAGCATTATTACATTAAATAAACAGCGACTTTACATGTAGAAACATTATATATATATATATATATATATACATACACACACATATGTATATTCATTCGAGTAGATAATTTAATCTAAAACAACATTGTTACGCATATATCAGCGGATTACCATACACCTGGAACTGACTGGTGCTCACCTCAAGCAATTTTTAAAGCTGAAAAGGTTTACAGAGGAATGCTGGCCATTCCCATTGCAACAGTTTCAAGCTGAAGTCCCACTACTATGAACAGATCGACAAAGAAACGTGGAGTTAACTATTAAGATATCCTTTTTTTTTCTCTTTAATTTACACCAAGTGATCATTACAGGTTTAACCTGTGTTACTTCTTTTCCAATCCAAGATTTGTCAATGGTACTCGAGAAAAGCTCATCTTGATCGAGAAATATGAATGCGACATAAGCAGTCTACCTCTTACGCTTGCTCTTCAGAGAGGAAGAGGGGTTACTATACCAATTCCTTTTTCTCTGGTTTATGAACCAGTTGTTAATCTGCTTTAACTGCAAACCTGTTTCCTGCACTAAATTTGATTTGTCTTCCTCCTGAAGCAATATTTTGAGGAGACACTTTTGTCATAAAAACAGTTGAAAACAACATACTTTGATGATCAGAACTATCAGGGAAACATATCACACTTACGGTTGGGTACGGCCACTTGGAATGTGACTGCCACCAAGCTTTTTAAAATGAGATGGTATCACCTGGTAGCTTTCCGGCTCGTCTCTTACGCAGAATTTCCTCTCTAACGTCCACAATTTTCTCCTTGTAACCCTGAATGACCAGAGCATATTTAGCTGTAGTGTTACATGTCGAATGATTTTAATTTTAAATTCGTAAAGTCATACCTGTTTCAGCTCGTGCTTCAGTTCTTGCCTAACTCGCTCCATTAATGATCTCTCGGTCTCGGTTGAGACCAGGGGGCCAAACCCCATGCTGTAAATCCCATCGAAACTTCCATCAAACAAGCTGGTATCACTATCTACAACCTCATCTTCATCATCAGACATGGTTGCACCAGTTCCTTCACCTGGAGATACACCTGCTCATGATGTCTAGTTTAGCTCTATGTTTTTACCACTTCAATCCGCAGTTAATGCAGTCATTTTCCAAAACAATCAAAATAAACAGGGAAGGATTAAATTCATTATTATGACTTACAGAAAGCGTGAAAGCTGGATGTATAATTCAAAGACTGAACCAACTTCTATGGCTGATCAATAGACTTTTTTGCAGTTCCTATTGAGTTAATGTAGCAAGATCATAGTGATTACCACTGCTCTGCCATGGTGTCTAGTTTGGGCTCTGAGAGAGATTGGTTAACAATCTACAACTTATATAACTCGGAAAATCTCAAGCAATGTTCACTAGTAGAGAACTAGCGGAAACAATTGGCTGGGACCAAGAGGAATGGTTGGCAAAAGGGAAGTTGACAAGTGAAACCAAGATATAACCGAAACGAATAACATAGCTCATGTACAGTATAACGATGAATCGAGATGCTAATCCTACTTCATGCTATCCATCCCGGAAGCTGTTTACTGTAGGGAGATGGGTGTACCTGTTAAACTTTTAAGTGATTGCTCAAGATCCCAACAAGCCATAACTGCTTCCATTGCATGAAGACGAACATGTTGTTGCAATTGGTCTTTGAAGAAGCCAAGCAATAGAACATAATTTGCCTACATCAAATGTAAGAGAAAAAGAGAATGTGTTAAGAAACTAAATTTGTTATTTCTGTTTTTCAGTTGTAACTAATTTACAGTTAATTAGTTAGATTAGAGTTGTATATATTTGTAACATTTTCTATCCATTAATAAGAGAGGTATTATTCAGAACAATCTTTGTAAATTTAACATGGTATCAGTTTCTGGGTTATTTTCTCTTGGGTTTCCTGTTTGGCCCATACTTTGCTAAGTTTTGTGGCCCGTTTTCTTTCAGCAGTTCCAGTGTTTCTCTTCTCTTCCCCAAATCATTTTCTCTTAGAGATTATGGCACTCACGATTGACTCAAATCACCCCCTCTTTCTACATCCCTCAGACACGCCGGGAGTTCAATTGGTGTCACAACAGCTTACTGGTGCCGAGAATTATAGTTTGTGGAGCAGGTCTATGCGCATCGCGCTTCTCGCCAAGAACAAGCTTGGCTTTGTCGATGGGAGTTATCGAAGGGATGATTATGAAGGTCTGCTGCAGTCTCAATGGGAGCGCTGCAATGCTCTCGTGCTCTCGTGGATCTTGAACTCTGTTAGCCAGGATCTCTCTACTGGCATCGTGTTTGCTTCGACTGTCGAAGCCGTTTGGAAAGATCTCAAAGAGCGACTCGATAAAATCGATGGCTTTAGGGTTTTCTTTCTCCACCGCTAAATTGCAACGCTCGCACAAGGTGACTCATCTATCTCCGTTTACTTCACTCGTCTTAAACTTTTGTGGGACGAGTACACGACGCTTGTTCCTTTCTCCTTTTGTGATTGCGAGGCTGCTCAACAGAATTCGATTCTTGTGGCTCAACAACGATTGTTCCAATTTCTGATGGGACTCAATGAAACTTATTCTGCTATTCGAAGACAAATTCTCCTCATGAAGCCTCTGCCTACTGTCAATCAAGCCTACTCCATGATTATTCAGGAGGAGCTGCATCGAGCTCAACTGTCCGTCTCGCCTATTGAAGCCTCTGTGATGTTCACAAATGCTTCCAAAGGCAGTGAACGAAAATGTTTCAGTGGAACGTGTGACTACTGTAAAATCAAGGGCCACAGTCGCGATCGTTGTTACCGACTTATTGGCTTTCCACCAAACTTCAAATTCAACAGAAAAAAAGTTTCTCAGGCTGCCATGGCAGTTAACTCTATGCCTGCTGTTAATGGAGAAGTTGAGAGTGGCTCGATGGTTTCCTCTACCGTTTCAGCAGTGCCTTCTTTCACTCCCGAGCAGTATCATCAAATCTTGGGTTTGCTGAGCAAAAGTTCAACCTTAGATTCCAGTGCGAATCTTGCAGGTACTGTTGGTTGTAATTTACCTGCTTCCAGTAACTATTGTGTCTATTGGATTATAGATACTGGTGCAACTGATCATATTTTGTCTGTATTCAAGAGCTTGCAATTTCTTGTTTTATGTCTTGTTCACCGTTTTGTTCATTTGCCTAATGGTCATACTGAAACTGTCACTCATATAGGGTCTCATAGGTTAAATTCTGAATTAATTCTTTCCAATGTTCTGTTTGTTCCCAGCTTTTCCCATAATTTGATTTCTGTCTCTCGGCTTGCTAAAGATCATGCATGTGTCGTTTCTTTTCATCCTGACATTTGTATCTTGCAGGATCTTTACAATGGCATGATCAAGGGGATTGGTAGAAGGTTTAATGGACTTTACATTTTTGAGTCTAAAGGAGCTATTGGTTTGTTTTCAAATTCTTTGACTAGTACTGGGGATGTTTCTTGTGTTCATTCTGTACATGATATTGTTGTTTCTAATAAAACTAGTCTTTGGCATGCTAGATTTGGGCATGCTTTTGCTTCTTCTATGAAAAGGCTTACTTCTTATGTTTATGATAAGTTTGATGTAAATTCTATTCACACTTGCAATGTTTGTCCTTTAGCAAAACAAACTAGGTTGCCATTTCCTCTTAGTTCTACTCGATCTTCAATACCCTTTGAACTAATTCATATAGATCTATGGGGTCCTTATAGAATTTCTACTCATAGTGGTCATAGATATTTTTTTACTATTGTTGATGATTGCACAAGAATGACTTGGGTTTATCTCTTGAGGGTAAAAAATGATGCTATTTTGTTTCTTAAACAGTTTCTTTCATTCTCTTCTACTCATTTTTCCTCTGTCACTAAAATTATTAGAAGTGACAATGGTACAGAATTTTTCAATTCTCATTGCTCTCCTTTTTTCTCTTCTCTTGGCATTTTGCACCAAAGTTCATGTGTTCAAACTCCACAGCAAAATGGAGTTGCAGAACAAAAACATAGACATCTCTTAGAGGTAGCTAGGGCTTTACGTTTTCAGTCAAAAGTACCTATTAAATTCTAGGGTGAATGTGTATTAACAACTTGTTTCATTATAAACAGACTCCCTTCTTCTGTTTTACAATGGAAAACACCTTATGAGCTTCTTTATCATAAAGTCCCTGACATGTATATTCTGAAAATTTTTGGTTGTTTGTGTTATGCTACTGATCCAAAGCCAACTGACAAATTTGCTCTTCGAGCCTTACCCTCTGTTTTCATGGGTTATTCTAACACTCAAAAAGGTTATCTCTTATTTGATCTTACCTCTAAGAAGTTCTTTGTAAATAAGGATGTTATTTTTCATGAACAAGTGTTTCCTTTTAAATTTCCTGTTCAAACAAGTTCTTTCTTTCCTTTTATTCCCTTTGTTCCTGACTCTAAGTTCTTAAATCTTTCTTTTGGTCAGCAACATGTTCCTGTTGTCCCACCTGTTTCTTCTTCTAATGTTGAATTTGGGCAATCATCACAACAGTTAGAATCTTCTATAGTTCCAGTAGCTCCAGTCTTGGTTAGAAAATCTACTAGGGTTCCTAAGCAACCTCAATGGTTAAATGATTTTATTTGCAATT